TGTGTGCTCCTCATCTCTCTGCAGGTCTCCTCTTAATAATCTTGTTGCATTAGGCAACTTCAACCAGAGTAATTCATGTTCTGGGGGAAAACATGACTGTTGTGTATGAACCATGACATCTGTACATGTGTAAATGTAATTTGGGAAAAATGTATCTTTGTTGCATCTTTAAAAAAAATATATATTAAACAAACTGTGCACAAGTCAACATTTTCTAATGTTCCCCAGATGCAACTGGTGGTTCTTCAGCATGGTGAGTCTTATCAGATGTTTACAGGACTGGCTGAACCAACATGATGCACTGAGGGAAAGAACAAAGGATTCAAAATCATGTAAGCAAGGCTGGTTTCCAGTTTCAGGATTTACCGTGTACTGTGTTTACAGTTTAAAATACAACTACATATTTCTGTCATATCTACACTGTGATTCAATATGTTAAATATTTTTTCAGCATTTGTACTTAAATTAGGGGCAGCACGGTGGCGCAACTGGTAGAGCTGCTGCCTCTCAGTGAGCAGGTCCCTGGTTCAAACCCCGGTCCAGGGGCCTTCTGGGTGGAGTTTGCATGTTCTCTCCGTGCATGCGTGGGTTTTCTCCGGGTACTCCAGTTTCCTCCCACAGACCAAAAACATGCATGTTAGGCTGATTGGTAACTCTAAATTGTCCCTAGGTGTGAGTGAGAGTGCATGGTTGTTTGTCTCTATGTGTCCCTGTGATGGACTGGAGACCCGTCCAGGGTGTACCCCGCCCCTCGCACAGTGATTGCTGGACATGGGCACCAGCGACCCCCGTGACCCAAAATGGAATAAACGGGTAAAAGATAATGGATGGATGGATGTACTTAAATTAGGATTTCACTCTTGGTCAACACAAAATACTAATAGTCAAAGGTATAGAGTGGCCGTCTGCATATTCATTTGTGTTTAAACACTTCACATGAGAACAACCTCTGAAAAGGTTAGTGTTTTTTCAAGGTTTATTAGAGTGAATAAACAAAAAAAGTACAGGTTTACATAAACACACTGTAGTTTCCATGCCAGGTATGGTTGCCAAATAGGAAACAATAAACTTTTGTATTGTTGCTTTAAAATTATTGTATTTTGACCCAAACTGTCATATGTGCTGAGTGAGGATGTTGTAAAATAATGTGTGTGTTGTGTTTGGTGAACATGTGCACAGAAAAGAAGGGGGGAAAGGCATATTCATGTTTATCTGGCAACCCTGCAAGTAATTAATTTTAATTAATCAATTTTTCACTCTTTTGAAAGCGTCATGCATATTTTAAACTCTTTTAATGAATCGACTTGTTGATTTGTTGATCTTTGTATCAAGATGCAGATCATGTCAGCCACCAGTCAGGGATGTAGGACCTCCGTGCACAGCTACAGTACAGTATATGTTCCCAGAGATCACGAGCTAAAAGTTAAACTCTGTTATATCTGACAGATTGCTTCTGTGCCCTTCTCCAAATTCACGTGCTGCACGTTGAAAACTGCTAAAACGTCTTTAAGCTTTGGCTGCATTAGAAATAATCTGCTTACAGCTGCTGGTGCAGCAGGTCTGCCACTCATAGTGGATCAGTGACTAAAACGCCTCTTTATGATCCAAACAGAACGGAGGATCTGAGTCCACAAGGGTGCCCCCGATGCTCAGCTGCTAGCACACCAAACTGTAGCTCCATTGCTGTAAAACTGGCTGAGTTATACCTGCTTGTGTGTTTTTAATGGTCAGCTGATTGCAAAAGTTCATCAGTTGCAGATATACATCCAGCGATTACTTTCTGAAAGATTCATTCAAATTTGTTCAGTGGTTCATGACATATTTATCTGACAGTGCAGACAATCCAACACACACACACACACACACAGGTAAAAACATTATTGCCCTTTCATTTATGGAGGCAGGGACAGCACAGATTATTTCCTTGTGATGAGTGTGTTTTGTTGGCCAGAGAGCTGTGTGCTGCATCCATGTCTAGGATTTAGTCAGGGAGGAGTGCACGCTCACCAGCTGACCTTGAGAGAGCAGCTGCAGACGGGGGGGGGGGGGGGGGGCAGGCTTCAGATTCCATTATGTATATCATCCTTAATGTGACGTTCACTGCTGCAGTTTGTTGGCTGACAACAGGCCTGTGGTCAGTGGATCAGATGTACAGTACATTAGGAAGAATTGATGTTTTCTACACAAACACGGTGGCAGGAAGTCATTTCAGCTTTGTTTGACTTCATAAAGCATTGCAGCACGTCAGCTCAGTCTTTAGCTGTCCTCCTCTCTGGTTCAGAAGGCACATTTTTCAGATAAAATGTGCTAAAAGCTGAACATACATTCTGAAAACATATTGCTTGTGCTAAATATACGTACATGTGGCAGAACAAGAAATACTTTTATGTTAATTTTAATTATTTTTAACAGCTACCTTCTAAGGTAACAGGTGATGATGCAATTTCCTGTATTTGTGTTTATTAGGATGTCTGTTAGTAAAATATTAATTTTCCTGTTAGAGTACAACCATAAAGTTCAAAGTATTTCACTGGCATTTTATTTGACAAACCAAGACAAAGTAACAAATAATTATGAAGTGGAAGAGAAACAATATATATATATATATATATATATATATATATATTTTTTTTTTTTTTTTTTTAACAAATATAAATTTGAAAGTGTTGTTGGTGTTTGCATTCAATGAGATTCAACAAGTCTGCTGGCTTCCTTAGATAGGGTAACTGGCTTTTCTATGTATGTGAATGTTTCTGTTCAGTGCACAGAGACAACTTCGTTGTGAACCTGTGTTATAGAAATAAACTGAATTGAACTGAATTGATATTCAGCCCCATAGAGCAGCTGTAGAAACACCTTGGCTGCAAAGGTGTACAAATTATTGTTGTGGCTCCTCAGGCTGATGAAGTCTTTTGGATGAAAGAAAATGTTTCAACAAAGAAGAGGACCTGATCTAACTTTCTTGGATTTTTTTTTTACCTGGATTATTGAGCATGAACTTTGAACCTTTGGCTGCAATTTCAGCTGAAAGATTTTGAGGGTTTATTATAACCAGTTTTGAACATTTAGAGCCTGAAACTGGCCCATTCTACTTTGTAAACCAGATGCAGCTCAGTCATTCTAACACATGAACGTGTTCTGGTCCAACGGGTCCATTGTAGTTCTGGCTGGATGTTTCAGGTCGTTGTTCTGCTGGAAGGTGAACCTCTGTCTTAGTCTCCATGTTAGCAGCAGCTTTTCTCCCAGGACTTCCTGTTTTTGCCTTCATCCGTCTTCCATCGGCTCTGAGCAGCTTCCCTGTCTCTGCTGAAGAGCATGATGCTGCCACCACCATGCTTCACTGTGGGGATGCTGAGTTCAGGGTGATGTGCAGTGTTAGTTTGCTCTGATCTCAGCAGAGCAGCACACACAAAAAAAAGATTTTCTTCTTGCCACTCCAAGACCAGATTTGTGGAGGTTGTTGCCCTGTGGACAGGTTGTCCCAGCTGAGCTGTGGATCTCTGCAGTTCCTCCAGAGCTACCTTGAGGCTACTTGGTTGCTTCTCAGGTTAAAGCTCTCCTTGCCTGACCTGTCAGTTTACATGTTTTGGTCTGTTTCTGGTCGTGTCGTACTCTTTCTATATTCAGACGATGAATTGAACAGAACTCTGCGAGACGTTCAAAGCTAGGGATATCGGTTTAGACCCTAACACTACTTTAAAAGTTAACAACATTATTTCCCCTATCTGGTGGTTTCCTTGGTCTTCATGATGCTGTTTCATGATGAGGCTTTTTAGAACATTGTATTGATTTCCATTCACTTATGTAGCCTAACCCTGATCTTTACCATAAACCTAACAATAACCAGTACATGTCTAGCCTAAAGCCCCCAGTATACTGCCGCGTACGTCCGTTCACACGTACGTATGCGTGTACTGTACGCAGAGGGTTCAGATATGATACTCCAGCGTACACCCCGAGCAGCTGCAGAGCAGCTTCACAGACAAGGGGCGTTTACCTTCGGGACAAATTGAGGTCGCCGATTGGTCATTTGCTGACACGCCTCCTGGATTGATTGACAGGTCGGGAGAAAAAAAAATTTGCGCTGGCAGCCTCAGCCACAGTGGTGTTCTGTGTTTATATGTTGTTCATAAAAAGATCTAAAAAAAAAAAAACAGGGAGCGCTGGCTCTACAGCCCACACATCAGACCAGCCCACCAGGAAATCTCCAGACCCTCCCGCAGCCATGGTGGACCTGAGTTTAATTTGCTTGTGACAAATTCCTCCATTTCTCACCATTTCAGTCATGGCATCAACGGAGGAGGACGAGATCACTGCCTCTTGGCAAAAAAACAAAAGAAAAGGCCAGATCAGAGATGATGAAGGGGAATATAATACATTGGTGTTGCATACAAAACAGTCCGTCGCTGGGCAGTTTATTGTGCGACACCGCGTACGCGTATACGGTCGTAAAAATTTGAGCTTTGCACGGACATGCCCTGGGGGGGTACACTCGTACCTCTGCGTACGTACGTACGTGCCCCTGCGTATGGATGTACGTGACAGTATACCAGGGGCTTAACTCAAACATTTGCTTTCCAGTGAAGGATCAGGATTGTAAGGACTACTGGTCCTGACAATGTAGGTAAATTTAACAGAAAAGTTCATAAATAATGCAGAGCACATTTTTTATTTGTCCTTGCTTTTTGCTAGCAAGTAATACAAATCATAATCTATATTTTATTTGAGGATTTTTAACTTGTCAGTGTACTTAATTTGCTGAGATTTATGTCTTTATATGTGTTTAAATTTAACACCACCATTTAGTGCCATTATGTGGCACTGAATGTCCATAAAGGAATGTAAATTTTTTAAATTAATTAAAATTAAAATTTAATTTTTTATTGAAATTAGCTAAAGAATTACACAAATCGTAGAACAATAGAACACTTGAACTGATCTTTAAAATGTTGTGTGAGGTTGTTTATGTGAATGGGAAAGCAAACAGAATTAGCTCTCACCTGTATTGTCTCTTGTTGTCACCGTCAGCCTGTGGATCACTCGAGGTGAGACCTTTAGCCCTGCTCGGATCTGATAGAACCTGAGGCAACAGAGGTCAGAGAGAGACAGACGTGTTTAAAAACACACTTAAGGCTCCAGTATACTCACTTTGTAAGAAGGCCCACCAGAGAGTGTATTTTTATCTGAAGCTCTGTGGTTGTAACGTTGATCCGACTGTTATGAAAATGTTTTTTTCATGTTTTATTGAGTCTCTTTTAACTTTTGCCTTCATCTGTTGGTTTGGACCTTTGACATGCAAAAACAGAAACAAACTCTAAGGTATTGTCAGGATGTGCAGCAAAACTGCTGGCATAGCCCTACAGAACCTCACTCACCTACACAAGACGAGGTCAGTGAACAAGGCCAGGTTGATTCTGGCAGATCCTGATCACCGCTCCATGGTGAGGAGGTTCAGGTTGCTTCCATCTGGATGCAGCTATCTGCTGCCCAGATGTAGGATGAACAGACTGAACAACTCATTCATCCCTGTAGTGATCAGTCTTCTCAATGAATAGTGATGATTTATGTACAGTTATTTTAATGACTCAATGTCTTGTGTAGTGTAGATGTTTTATGTGCCTACTGACTGTGAAACTAATTGCTCCTTGGGAATAATAAAGATTCTTGAACGAGAAGAGAGAAACCTACGTATTCATTTTCATTATCTTCTTACCAACAACAAGAGAGTAGAGTGGAATTTGTAGAAATTTGATTTACTTTTGCTCACAGATGACAAAATAAGTTTATGTGTGTGTCTTTGTGTATTTTGATTTCTTAAGTACCATTCACACTAGATTACCATAAATAGTGAGATATTAGTTAGCATTATTACACTAATTTACTGCCATTAAATTCAGTTGAGACAGGTTGTGATTTTTGGACCCAAGCAAATTGAGCACAAACTTTGCAGCCTTTTATTTAATAATAATTTATTTATTAACGCCACACTCTGTGTGGCGTTAATGTGGCCTCCAGCACTACTGTAAAGATACTTGTTGTCATTTTTGACAAGGACTTGTTTTAAGGCCCACATTAAAAATGCTACCAGGATTGTTTTGTTCCACCTGACAATATCATTAAAAGAAGAAACATCTAGTACCAAACTGTTTCTGAAAAACTACTCCATGACTTCTAGGCTGGACTATTGTATTTTTTATTAACAGGATTTCTACTAAAAAAAAAACTCTCAGTCTTCCGTTGATTCAAAATGCTACTGCTAGTTCTGGTGAGGGTTAGAAAGAGAGACCAAATTTCTTCATTTTTTTATGTTTTTCCATTGACTCCCTGTCAATTCAGAATGGGGCGGCTGAGTGGTTAGAGCAGTCGTCCTCCAATATGAGAGTTGGGGGTTTGAATCCACCAGCAGTCACATGCTGAAGTGTCCCTGGCCAAGACACTGAACCCCTCATTGCCTCTGATGTGTCCCATCAGTGTATGAATGTGATAAAGCTCTGATTAGTCTCTTTAGAATGATTTGTTCAATTATCTTTCTAGAGATCTAGTATAGAGCTGTATGAATGGGTACATGAGGCACAGATTGTTGTAAAGAACTTTGAGTATCTTGAATTAAGATAGAAAGGCGCTGTATAAGTACAGTCCATTTGCCATTTAATTTAAAATCTTAATTCTAATAATTGTTCTATCCTCATTCTGTTGCCCTCAGAGTGCAAGTTTACTGGACGCTTCTTGAGTCCACAGATGTTCGACAAGATTTAGATCAGGGCTCAGAAGGCCACTTTAGAATAGTCCAATGTTGGGATCTGATCCATTCTGGGGAGTTTTTAGCTGTGGGTTTTGGGTCATAATCCTGTTGGAGGACTCATGACTAAGACCAAGCTGTCCGACACCCAGCAGCACATTTTGTTACACATTGACTTGATAGTCTTGAGATTTTATTGTACCTTCATAGATTCCAGGCACCTGTGTCAGAAGCAGCCAATCAGTCCCAGAACAGAACCGGGCCTCCTCCATGTTTCAATTTTTGTGGTTTGTGTTCTGTGTGGTACACCCCATGACACTAAACAGCCCTGTGACTACTTTTCACCTTTTAAATAGGCAGACTGATTGATAAGCAGATTGAAGACACCTGTGATGCTGAATGCAGGACTCACTTTGGTTTAATATATCCCTAAGGTCAAAAGAGTTGCAGTCTGTTCTTTAGGATAACATTGTTGTTGTTGTTGTTAACAAGGACAGTATAATTAATTAATGTGTTTAAAAATATATATGTACTGGTATTTTCAACCAAAATTCAAAAGAAATGACTGATTTTTGTGAGTTGATTATTAGAAAGGATGAATAGACAGATTGAACTAACTTATAGTCGTGATATTTTAAGTTTAAATTTTTATTTCAACAGAAAATAGGACTGGGACAGATATTTTATCATAAACAAGAGTAATGGTAAACAAATCAAACATAATTTGTACAATTCATACAAAATTATTCAAGTTTAAGCAAAACAGATATTGATGCAAACGCATAATACTGTCTCATAATCCAAGGGCAGAAAAAAACTTTTTTTTATAGTTAAATTAGAGATCAATAAATTATTTCCTCCAGTAAAACATTTCTAACATTTTTTTCTATATAAATTCCAAGAAATTGCAATATTGTTTTCTTTAATATCAAACAATAGTAAAAATTGGTAGTTGTTCTTTAATAAACTAAGCTGAAGAACAGAAGGACTAAACTATTTTACATAACATGACTTACATAACACTAAAAGGCATACAGCCATTATTCTATTTACAGTATTTGAATAAATTTGGAGCATGCAGTATAAAAATTCTGTTTGTCACTTTTTCACACATCAGCTGCAGAGGGAATTAGCATTTCTAATGTTTTCAGTTCACAGCCAGGCCCTGCAGGTCTAAACAGGGTTCAGAGCAGTAAGATACTGAATCACACAAATTCAATTATGTTAATTAGAGCCTGACAGATATATCGTAGGGCTGACATTTTAGGCCGATGTAGACATTTGGGGACCTATCGGTATCAGGGTCCCATTAAGCGCCGATATAAGCACTTCCAATTTTCATCCCTAAAATGCTGGGAAATGGATGTAATTGTAAAATGTATCCAGCAGAGGGTGCATGAATACTACTTTCAAGTCATGGCCGTTCACTTAAGTTTCACTTTCACATTCAGCACAGACGAAGCAGGGAGCAATGCTGTGTAACATATTTTGCTGAACAGAACATGTTAAGTTCATTTTAACTGATCTGTAAAACAAATTTAAAAAAATATTCTCTTCAACCCTCCAACCTGTTTGTCATTAGCTATGTGCCTCTTAAGTTAGCAAGCTAAAGTTTAAATAACCTAGAATAGGCTATTGCCTGGTAAAACTTTAGTCAGAAATATAAATCTAACGTAGAGGTAAATATATATCAGTGTTAGTAATGTTATCTTCGTCATCCTCAATGAAATGCATTGTTTGCCTGAAATCTTTACTTCTCTGCATAGAAAAATTAACCCTGCTGCGGTCAATACTAATCAGACCTTCACCATATGTGACTGACTGTTTAAACAATGACCAGGTAGGGCGTTTCTTTTTTAATTTATATTTATGTAACACACTTGATAACTTTATGGTGAAGAGCAGAGCATAGAAAATGTGAATGTGAGACAGAGTACATGGGTGTGAATGAAAGAAAGGCTGGTGGAACTGTGAGGCCACAAGGATCAGAGATAACAAAGGTGTAGGACTTCAAGTAGTTGGGGTTCACTGTCCAGGAAAATGGGGAATGTGGTAAAGAGGTGAAAACGAGAGTCCAGACAGGATGAAGTGGATGGAGAAAAGTTTCAGGAGTGATTTGTGACAAAAGGGTGTCAGCAAAGGTCAAAGGAAAAGTTTACAAGATAGTGGTGAGACCAGCTATGTTGTATGGTCTGGAGACAGAGACATGGACAAAAAGACAGGAGACAGAACTGGAAGTGGCAGAAATGAAGATGTTGAGGTTCTCCTTAGAAGTGATAAGGATGGATAAGATTAGGAATGAGATCATCAGAGGTACAGCCCAGGTTGAACAACTGGGAGATGAAGTTAGAGAGGACACACTGAGATGGTTTGGACATGTCCAGAGGAGGGACAGTGGGTATATTGGTAGAAGGTAGGGCATTAACAGAGTACTTGAGTAATCTACACCTCGATTGCTAGGACATCTATCGAGGTTAAAAATTTAACATCGAGTATCCGTAGTGATGTCATATTATGTGACCACCGTATGACCGTAGGGGGTGGTGTTGCACTGTTGCAGGTCACAGAGTATGGTGTAACACCGGGTCCAATCCACAGAACCAGAAACAGTTTTGGTTTAAGTTTCGTTTTTGACGTGCTGCATGTTTCTTCACGTTTGCAGTTTAATAATAAAAACTAATAGTTTAGTTTTTCCTGTGACTTATTTGCAGTATGATAAATGGTAGGAGCATAATATACGCTCCCAATGTTTTGTTGGTCTTTTTTTTGTAAATAATTACCTTTTTTGGCAGTTTTATTTATTTATTTATTTTTGTATCTTGAGATCTATGACGTCATCAAATACTCGAATTCTACTCGGGTTTTATTATATTAATGTCGAGTTTAAAAATTATATACTCGTTCAACCCCTAGTAGAAGGATGTTAGAAATGCAGCTGCCAGGAAAAAGACAAAGAGGAGATATATGAATGCAGTTAGAGAGGACATGGAGGTAGTTGGAGTGAGGACAGAAGATGCAGAGGACAGAGTGAGGTGGAGGAGGATGACTTGGTGTGATGACCCCTGAAGAGGGAAAGCCGAAAGAAGAAGAAGAAGCTATGAGAAGGATTATGGCAGACAGTAAAAACGTGATAAATCTGGAGCTTGTTCTATTTGAAAAGAGACAATTATTTCTGAGAAAGCTTGAATTTTATTGCAGCTAATTGAGCTTCATGCTTGAGCTTCAGCTTCATGTAGATACATTAATGCAGTTACTATATTTCTGTCATGTGTCAAAGAGCAAAGAGAAACACCCTCCATTCATCTATCAGTCTTTGTCCATCAATCTCTGCATGTTGTGAGCTGGATAAATTGGAAAAATAAGAAAGCTACTGACTGATTTTGGCATGTGGCTGCATCTAGGTCACTATCAAAAATTGGGTAGCCAAATCAAAATCCAAGATGGCCACCACCATACATATATGTAAACCCATATAATTTCAGGAAACTATGCCTTCTAGTTTTTATACTGCTTTAAACAAATGTTTCCTCAAATAATTGGGGTGGCAAAAGATCAATCTATGGAGATCAAGGCCACCATTGGTCACACCCTGGCTCCACTATTGCACCTGGTGGTGGATAAAATTGTTCCCTCCTCTCACTAGGATCTGTCACTATGCATTGCCTTGAACAAGAAAAAAAAAAAATAATAAAAACTTCCTCTATTCTTCTCCACAGTGTAACACCTACCCACTTGAATATCCATCCATCCATCCATTATCTTTACCCGTTTATTCCATTTTGGGTCACGGGGGTCGCTGGTGCCCATGTCCAGCAATCACTGTGCGAGGGGCGGGGTACACCCTGGACAGGTCGCAAGTCCATCACAGGGCCACATAGAGACAAACGAGACAAACAACCATTCACTCTCTCACTCACACCTAGGGACAATTTAGAGTTACCAATCAGCCTAACATGCATGTTTTTGGTCTGTGGGAGGAAACTGGAGTACCCGGAGAAAACCCACGCATGCACGGAGAGAACATGCAAACTCCACCCAGAAGGCCCCTGGACCGGGGTTTGAACCAGGGACCTGTTCGCTGAGAGGCAGCCGCTCTACCAGTTGCGCCACCGTGCTGCCCCCACTTGAATATCTTGCACCAAAACCTTTAAGGTTTTCTTGCATTCCCTGTTTAATTCCAATCCAGAAAAACACTTTTATAACCTATGTTTAATTCTGCTAATTGACCTGAATTTCAAATGAATTTATAAACAACAGGTATGAACTGCTTACCCCCTCTGAAAAAGGTCCACATTGTGAAACTTGTGCAATTCTAGAGAAAACTCCAGTGTTGCTTGGACCTCAGACATGATATAATCCCACTCATCACCTGTAAAAAAGAAAATATATATATATATTGAAAAAGTAAATATCACGTCATACAAGCAAGAGCTACTGAATCAGAATCAGATTTATTGTTATTGCACCGAAGAACAACAGAATTACATTTCAGTACAGCCCGTCCGAGAAAACATGAACAAACAGACACGGGGAGACAATGGTGTCAATCAATCAATCAACCTTTATTTAGACAGGTAAATCCCATTGAGCCTTGAGGACTCATTTACAAGAGAGACCTGATTTCAACAAAGAAAGATGACAACAATGGACAACAGCAACAACAATAAACAGTTATAAAAAATAAATAAATAAATAAATAAAAAATAAATAAAAAAACCTCCAGGAGGCGCTGCCCTTTTTGTTTAGATAAGAAAAAGAGAAACACAAGGGGAGGAGAGGTATAAAAAAATGATAATATCTCGCACCATGTCCTAGACGGGACACAGTGTGAAAGTTGCAAAGAAAGACCTCAGCACAGAAACAGCAACATACTTCTGTCATCATAATATTTATGCATGAGAAGGTCAACAAAGGCGGTGAGATGTCCGTGGATACTTCCAGATAGTTTCATAGTCCTGTTAAGAGATGATGCATTGTCTATCAGCTAGCTCAGTTCTGACACATGTCCACAGATGTCCTGGGGAAGGGAGCGTGTGTGTAGGGGGGGGGGGGGGGGGGGGGGGGTATTGTTTCTTGTTCACATACCATCCAGGAGAGTTTGAGATAATTGGCCAATTCAAGGCCAAGCGGGGGAGCCAGATTCAGATAACAATTATTGTGGGTCAGGCCAACTCTGCTTGATTTCTGTCTGCCTTCATAGTTTTACTGGTGCGTCTCACTGCCGACTCCAAACAGACAAATTTTGTGGTCAATACCACTGGGCCGAGCTTGAAGCTCCTCCAAGGTCAATTCCTTCCCACCAGCGAGTTTCAAGAGCCGCAAGTGGCCTGAGATTCTCAGAAATCGCGTCCAGCTTATGGCTCAGCTCACACAGCATCTGAGTCTGAGTGCTTATCACTTGGCACATTCCTTCACACAAGCTAGGCAGCCTTACAATGACCAGAACAGCTGCTGATGTTTTCTGCATTTGTCAATATGGCAGGTAACTGCTAACTCCAAATAGCAGAAATCCTGTTATCATAAATCCAAATATGTATGTATCTTCTACATCCTCAATGGACAATACAGACAGGCACATGATCTTCCACTGCCCCCAGGAATCCATTGTGTATCCAGCTGCATGTGTCCCATCAGGGCAAGAGGGCTCTCCTTTGCGCTGTCAACTCATTGAGAAAACTTTATCAATTGCGTTGAGAGACCAGTTGACCAGATCCATAATTTACAATTCGTAAGATATGTAATGAGAGGCTCTTATAGGGTTCACAGGACAAAGAGCAAAGCATAGAGGCAACACATTTCAAACGAGTTCTCTTGGTTTTGGCTCCTGTTTTCTGTTATGGTATGACTCATCCAGACCAGAAATGAGTTAACCGAGGATAGGCACTTCAGTCAGTCTGATTCTGACTCACTGGTTTAATTATTTCTTAGAAGGAATGTGTGCAGCTGCAGCTTTTCTGTGTTCTGTGACCTCAGAGCAAGAATCTGCGTTGAGCCTTGCTTAGCCAACGCAGATTCTTGCTCTGAGGTCGGTATAAATGATTCTTCAAGAGTAAGGCGTTAAGATGTCAAAAGACGTCCCACGTGAGCCAGAACAGCTCCATAAGCTGTTCATCGGAGGCCTGAGCTTTGAGATGACAGACGAAAGCCTGAGAGCTCATTTTGAATCTACATGTTTTTGTTGTTTTACTTTGGTTTTTTTTTGGGTTTTTTTGAATGTCCAGAGGACCAGATGGAACTTTTTTAGACCTTCCTTTAGAGATTTTCCAGGCACAGATCATTGGAAGGAGACCACAGGGCATACCCTAAACTTGCTGAAGGGATTGTATATCCTTTCTGCAGCTCCTTCTGGGGGATCTCCAGGGGTTCTCAAGGCAGAATGTTTCTGGATAGAGGGATGTCTGCGTCCCTCTTATGGACCTGTTGCCTCTACAACCTGACCGTGGACCAGCAGTAAAAGATATCCAGTACATAAACTGAAACTCCAAATGTGTACCCAGAACTCAAAATATATCTCTATATGTGTACCCAGTAGGGCTGGGCCATATCATATCGTTCACGATAATACCGGTAACAAAAGCTTTCCCGGGAAAATAAATGATATCATGATATGCTAATTTCATGACGTAAGTACATCAGTGTTTTCCCCCACCCCATTAACAGAATCGAGCGTGCTGAACTACCAAACCGAACTGCGCACACCCCCATCCACCTGTCGGTACTGGCATAACGCTAATTAGCTGCGCACGGCTCGGCTGCGTTTCTCCATCGAGCTCTAAACTGCAGGTACAGACAGTGACAGCTCAACTGCCCCCCCACCCCCCTCACCCCAACTCGGCTTTTTTCTCTCCCTCCCACCCCGCTTTGGGCTGCCGGTGCGGGCGCAGTGGGTCTCCCCTTCTCTAAACTGCCAGTACAAACACGTACAGGTCTGTCTCTTGAGTTCCATTCCACAGTCTATGGACCAAAAAAAGAGTCAGGTGATCAAAGACAGAGCATCAGAGAAATGGAATCATTCCTGCAGGAACAGATGAAGCTGAAACACCACAAGCTTCAGGGTCAGCTGATCACCTTGTCCCAAGTTTTGGAAGTTATGCCTCATTTAAAGGCAACATATATTTTCTTGTAGGTTACATTTATGCTCAACAGATCTTAAGCTTCATTTTATTTAGTTATTTTGGGAAACTGCACCTGTATTTTAGTTTTTGTGGTAGATTTTGTTGATCTATATTTTGTGCAGACTTTTTCAATCTAAATAACAGAAGGATCATTTTTATTTTTTTATTTTTATATTTTGAGACTGAATACTTTACTAAATAAAGCAATTTCAGTAAAATTAACCCTGTTTTAGTTTTTATATAATACTGCAAAGCAACATGTTAAGTTAATTTTGTCAAATGAATAACTATGATTTCTGTTTCATTTTTTTGTTATATCACGAAATTTATTATTGTCAGAATGCTCTGAAATATCACAATATTATATTTGAGCCATATCGCCCACCCATAGTACCCAGTACTCAAACTGGATCATTATACATGTATCCAGTACTCAAATTGGATATCTATACAGTACATGTACCCAGTACTCAAACTAGAATATGTACCCAATATGTACTAATATGTAAATGGTAAGTGGACTGTACTTATATAGCGCCTTTGTATCTTATTTCAAGATACTCAAAGTGCTTTACACTACAATCTGTGTCCTCATTTACCCATTAGGGATAGGGCTGATCCGATATCGTATTGGCCTCCGATACCAGCATAATTTATGTATCGGATTTTTCCAATCCAACCTGCAGAGATTTCCGATACATGATGCGTGTTGGCTTCAAACTATGGAATGGATTTCATGAACGGAGGCGTGTTTCATGAACCCAGAGTAATAAGACCTGCTTCGCATTCAGGAAATCCAGTTCATAGTTTGCAGCCAGCTACAACGTGAGGACTGAGTGAGCATCACTGTGATTAACAGCTAACCAACTTTTCATTTAAATATGTGCGCTGTGTGGAAGTATTTTACACTAGAAACACCACAAAGCAAGACAGCAATGTGCAATGTCTGCAGAGCCATAGCGCCACATTAAACCCTAGTAAAGTAAGTTTTACGTTCCTGATGCATGCTCAATAATCCAGGTAGAAAAATCCAAAAAAGTTCAATCTTGTCCTCTGGACATTCAAAAAAACAAAAAACAAAACAGAGCAAAAATATCTAGAAACGTTTCGTCTCTCTTCCAAGAGACTTCCTCAGTCTGAGGTGCTGTTTTCAGCTCAGTCTCTTAAATAGTACCTTCTCAGGGTGGATCAACCAGTTTTGCTGCTGACAACCAAAACCAGCTGATCACATGCTCAAGAAGGACCATCAGCCTAACAATGGGTCATTAGCACACTGATGGCTGTTTACTACTCACAGAGGGCTGAGTGATACTAGCAATCACAGCATTGTAAGAGGGGGACAGTTGAACCCGGAGGCCTCCACCCCTGTTTAACGATGGACGATTTCTTTTCACAAAGATGGCCTCCTTTACTCCTCTCTCAAACCATCGTTCCTCTCTGTCCAGGATGTGAACATCTTCATCCTTGAAAGAGTGACCGCTGGCCTGGAGATGAGTGTAGACCGCAGAATCCTGGCCTGATGATGTTGATCTTCTGTGCTGGGCCATCCTTTTGGCCAGTGGCTGTTTAGTTTCCCCGATGTAAGACTGATCACCCTCCTGACACTGAACAGCATACACAATATTACTCTGTTTGTGCCGGGGGACTGGATCTTTGGGATGAACCAGTCTTTGCCGTAATGTATTTTGGGGTTTAAAAGCCACTGGGATGTTATGTTTAGAAAACAAACGTCTCAGTTTCTCTGATACCCCCTCAACATACGGAATGACCACTGGTCTGGGTCTGGGTTCCTCCTTTTCACCTGATGGCTGACTGGTGTCTTGTTTGGGTTTCTTCTCTGCTTTCAGGAAGGCCCAGTTAGGATATCCACATTGCTCTAGAGCCTGTCTTGTGTGGGATTTCTCCTTCTGCCTGGCTCCTGAGCTAGTGGGGATGCTGTCTGCTCTGTGATACAGAGTCCTGATGACTCCTAACTTGTGCTCCAAAGGGTGATGGGAGTCAAACTGCAAATACTGGTCTGTGTGGGTGGGTTTGCGGTACACCTCAGTTTGCAAATGTCCTCTATCAGAGACTGAGACCTCACAGTCCAAGAAAGCCAACCTGCCATTTTTTACATCTTCTCGTGTGAACTTGATGTATTTATCCACAGAGTTGATGTGGTCAGTAAAATGTTGGACTTCCTGAGATTTAATTTTAACCCAGGTGTCGTCAACATACCTGAACCAATGACTTGG